GTTCATCATGTGATTTAATGCATTGTTTTTCTGCCTCTTCTTATTTTTTGCATGGTGCTAGACACATCTTTTGCCATGTTCAATTTTGGGGCAAGTTGTCGATATTAATCGAACGAATTTGGGCTGATCCTGTTAAACAAAGTACATTGTTGAAGGAATCAAACCACCAAAAGGGCAGATGGAATAGTTAGTTAGTTAGTTGAAGAACTCTAAACAACTTTGCTCGTGAGAAATTATTGTGCGTTAATATCATTAATATGATAGACTGGAGTTCTAAAACAGGGTACTGTAAAATGACTAATTTTCACTGGGTTTAAATTTCACTGATTTACCATTTCGGGCATATTCAGTGGGTTTTAAATTCACGGTTTCGTCATTTAGATAATGAGTTCTATGCTAAATTTTACATATTCACTGTGTTTTAATTTAGCGCATTTTTCCAGTCAGCGAAATAAGCTAAATTAAAACCCAGTGAATAATTACCCCCTTTACAGTATTTTGTGGTGCGTTTCGATTATCACGTCATTACGTAGAGAAATGTAAAAAATAGTTATCGCTACAGCTTGCCCTCGATTCATATAACCTCTAATTGTTTTTTATATTACGAGAGTTTTCTATTATTCTTGGTATATGTCTTAATATTTTTTTTAATTTTTATTATGTTATTTGTGATATAATATCACGGTCGGATGCCACGTCTCATGATGTACCTACCTCTCCACCATCCGGCGTATCCAGGCAACCGGCATAGCACGCATCAAAATATAGAAGATTATTGGTTCCACAGACTGGATCAAATGTCTCAGTACCAGCACAACCGCACACAGAGTTACAAGGATGGTTAAGGTTGACTTCGTCAAGATCACTCGTACTGAAAACAATTGTAATGTTGATTTAAAAGGGTGGTGGTCGTCGCACCACGCATGCGCGAGATATGGGACTCATGTGAACAAACATGGCGACATTGACTGTTGCACAGACCAACGAGTACAAACTGATACGTTGCTGAGCTATGTAATTTCTTTGGTGATTGGGAGGTATCGAAGAAGTCACCAGAGGTAATTAGTGTACGTTACGTCTTGATCAAAACACGTACTCGTGATTTCCTTTTGAAGAGCGCATTGGATTGTGGGGAAATCATTGTTTATCAACACAAATGTCGCACATGCGCGACGCGACGACCACCGCCTTTTGAAATATTGCCATGAAACATTCTCAAAATTATGTTTCCGTAGAGAATATTGATTAAATTACAAATATTACAAATATTTTGCATAACATTTTCTGTTAAAGTTTGAAAACATCAATTTTTTTCAAAAGTTTCAAAAAATACATAGTTTACAACAAACATACTTACTCTGAACTGTTGTACGATGTAACTACCCCAGCTATTTGTTGTTCTGGACATTGTAAAAGAAATATTGGAAAGAGGCACATCGTCACGATCGTCGCAAATATGCAGAATCGCGTGGTTCCTATGACTTTTAAATTGAATTTCTTTATAACCCATCCTCCCAGTAACGTACCCCCAGCAGCACCAGGCATGGACGTCGCCGCTGTGAAATAAAAGAACTTATCACATTATTATTTAAAATAATATTACAAATATTACAAGCACTGAAATAAACTGACGATACAAAACTGCGAATACTCTCACCTAAAAGCAGACCAGCTTCCGACGCTGTTAAACCGAACTGATTTTCAATGAACTTCACAATAAAAGGAAGGAATCCATATACGATAAATGTTAAGGCTGTTTTATAGACAACGATGCAACAATAGAAAGGGTTTTTAAAAAGCATTTTTGTAGCAGGCCACATGTCTTTCCATCCTTCCCCAAAGGAGGACCTCGTATTTAGTAGTTCAGTGTCGTCATTGTGGTGTGCCTGTGACTGGCGTTCATGTTGAATATGCTTGGTTCCTGGAGAAAACAGATTAGACATTAATGGCTGCTCAAATCTCGTTGATAAAAACAATACCATTTAAGCAGCAAAATCAAACCACGTTTTCAACGGGATTTTGGTGGCCACTTAGGCATATTCAACATCAATTTTGTATTACATAATTTGTTACATATTTATAAAATTGCATTTTTCTATGGTATGATTCTCCGTAAAGTATACGGACGTTGAAATAGTACCTGGTAATTCGGGAGGAAATGCACCGGTCGGCGCGGCTACCATCCATGCTAAGATCCATGCCAATAAGAAACCGATCCACCACGCACCAACCCAGCTAGGATCCGAGTTATCTATCGTCAAACTATAAAAACAAATACGCATTATGCCTAATAAATGTTATGTAATTAGACGATGATCAAGTCGCTTGTAATTCTAATCGATGCTGAAGCTATAGACTTCAGCCACATCTGACCAACTACCTATAGATGTTGCAACCAATCACCTTCCAGAGAAGATGTTTCATCCGAAATGAACTGCAACACAATTTCTGATTGTTGACTGATCCTCTGGAATCCGAATGCAACATGCTTTTAGTAGATGTTCAGATGTGTCTATATGCAATTGATCCCGACGATCGATGACCAGCTGCAGAGTATAGGCATCCATGCCATTTTAATCAGACTGAATAAACGCGCACAACGATTATATCCACCCTGACACGAGTTTTGGCCACGATTTAGGTAA